CCTGTTTCCGTTACTTCGTATGGAGGTTTTTCGACCACTGAAATGTAAAATTGAACATACCATTCACCTAAGTAGTACTTCTATTCTTTTTATATTCTTCTATACATCATACAACACCACAGATTTTCATTATATATTTGCAATTTACAGAAATCTCTATACAAGTAAAAGCTAATTTATTTTTATGCTTATATCCATATTTTATGACGACTTTTCACTTTTATATTTACTTTCACTTACATGTCAATTATATTTCATAAACTATGATTACTGAAAACTGCTGAAAATAGAGCTTCGGACCAAACTAAAGACTACTGTCCAATTCCAGCGTATAAGCTTGTTTTATAAATACCTTGATGTTATAAATGTCATTGCTGAAATAAAAGTTTATGAACAGCATGGATATTTGTAAACTAATTGGAAAGTGCATCCCGATCGAAAATCCTTATTCGTTATATAAAACACGAATTAAACATAAATTCTAATCCGCACTACGCAAATCCAGTCTGCCTGTCCTAGCGGTTGTTAAATGATGAAAGTATGAAATACAAGTAGATTAATTGGGTAGATTAACTAATACTAGTTTATGTGTGACAATGGAACGCATATTAAATAAACTTCCTGTTTAAATGAAAGTTAATGAACTTTAAAATTTATAGAACCGAAAAAAGAGTGTTAACCTGATTGGACTATAAATTATAGCAAGAGTAATAATAGTCTAACTCCTGATCAAACTAGAGAAACAATTAACATCCATACTTTTAATTAAAGAAGAAATATATTACTTCGTGTTGCATTGGCATACGAATCATGCAGTTTGAATTGTACTTTCCGGATATACTTTGACGGATCTTCATTGAAGTAAGGTTTTACGAATACAGTCCATTCATGGGTATGTCCATCTTCCTCTCGTTTTTTACCCAAATAATGAGCAGTATTACCGTAAACAATCGGTCGAGTGAATATCTTATCTTTCATTCGCTCCATTAGAAGTACAATAAGCGACTGAGATTATACTACTGCTTTTTATCATTCCACGTGCTCTGACTAAATAAACAATTATCAGCTATAATGCTAAATTTATCCAAAACTTTGATGATATCTACGATGAATGGTAAGAGAAAAAGGGTTTTGCATAAATTAAATAGAATAAACAAAATTAAAATCGAAATTAAAGATACTGGCATAATAAAAAGGTTAAAGTATTTCCACTCAAATTAATAACTGTTTGCTCCAGCAAATGAAAGAAAAAAACAATTAGTACAAAAATTCAATAGAAGAAAACAAAGCACTTTGACAGTCAACGCATTACGGTGACAGTGAGGGGAAAGAACTATACTGAGTTAAAATATTTAAAGTAATAAGTATCCAAATAGTTCTAATCATTTATATTTCAGCTGAAGCTTGGATAGCTATACCCAAGCACATTACTATTTCGAATTTTCACTTCAAATTTCAAATATTGAAGACTTCTCCCTCGCCATCAACAAAAATGCACGCAAATAAATAATAATTACGCAAATCGCAATTTCAGCAGTCACACTCTTCCACGCAAACAGAGACCACAGAAAAAGATGAATGACGGAAAGAGAGGATACAAAGAAAGAAAACATGGAAATTGTTAATAATTACAAGAAAATAGTGTGGCAAACTTGATGAAACAGAGTAAACGGAGTAAGCTTCAAAGAAGAAAGGAAAGAAAGATTGAGAGTATCAAAAAAAGAAAAAGGAGGAAAGATCGGGAGCGAAACTGAGATAACCTCACTTTAACCTTCCGTCATCTGTGGCGAAAGTTACTATCACATAGGTATGATGTCGATTCGCCAAATTCAAAAGTTTGTCTTTGGAGTATCTGAGGGAGGAAGAGGTTCGGTTTTTGAGGGGAGTAGAAGGGGGACCGATGGAGTGGCTGTTCGGTTAGTTTCTGGAACCGGAAATGAAATCCATCATGATTTTTAGTAACCTTTTTGAGTACAAAAATCCATATGAATGACGAATCGACAATATATGTGATATGCTTTATCTTTCCTGAGAAATGACTAAACGTGAAAGAATGATTCGATTACAACAAAACACATAAATGCGAATGAATTAACACATATTTTACCAATTCGTTTGTTTTTCAAGTGATTATTGGTGTACCTAATAGGCTGACCTTTAACATAATACGGTTTTATTCTATCGCATTCAAATTTAAATTCTAATAAAATTTCCTTTTTATCTTTTTTTGTAAATAAGTTCGGTAAAACATTTTAAGAGAATGCATAAAATTTCATTGGTAAAATACAAAATATGAATTAAAATAATTTGAATAATGACGAATGCGTATTCTTACTGATGCTAGTGCTTATAATAGCATTTTTGCTTTTTGACATCGCTTGAGAGAAAAATTTGTTGCGAAGAGCGAAACGTGGCATATATGCATATTTTGTTTTCTCAATATGCAAAATGCATGGAAAAAGCTGATTTAAAAGGAATGATATAATTCCGATGCATTCATTTCCATTCCATTATTTCAATATTTCCTTCATTGCGTTACAAAAGTGGGAGTTTTCGAACAGTTATAATTGCTGCGAATTTTGAATTAATGCCCATTTGTAGCGACTGTCAGCGGAAAGACATAACATTAAATTTGACAATTCCAACAAATTTTATTAACACTGTAGATTCATTGTGAATAATATCTTAGTTTTTGAAAATATTTTAGAAAAAAAAATTTCTTAAAAAAAATTAAAAAATCATTTGTGAAAATATTTTAACTAGAAAAAGAAAATTTTGATAAAATACTCAGAAAAATAGAAATAGATTTCTATACAAACTATTTTCTTCCAAATGACGAAACATTCGAAAACTGATAGGCTACCATCTTTGTTTATGTTATCGATATCGTGTCTCGCTGTTCCCATTCCTTATTGTGTGTTCATCGATGTCATCACTGACGAACAGTCAAGGATGTTGGTTACCGAAATCTATGCAATCAGGTTGAATATCATTTTTGAATTAATTTTCACAAATTATAATATAGAAAAGATAAAAGATCAAGTACCAACACGATATCAGTTGAATAAAATATAATGCAACAGCAGTGATTCGATGATTTGTCCCAATCATAAGTAATATAGATAACAAAATTGGTAACATCAGAATGACTTTTTTCTGGAAGAAAAAAAAGTTCGGAAAGGGAATAGAATTGAAAACGATAAAAAATAGCGCGGTATAGTATAATACGATACAATAAACCATTTAGTGCAATTTTATAATTCATTTTTAAAGTTAGAAAATAATAATTTCTATTTCTTCAAATTATTTTTCATCATTCATTTGCGGATAACATATTATGCGTTACTATTTTACTTTGTCTCAACTATTATATTATTCTATTAAAACTTTCTACAGTACAATGACATTATCCATATCCAATTTGAAATTATGAAATTTAATTCACTATATGATGAGTGATAAAACAGTGATGAATATATAATAGAATATACATTTAATATTTTGTAAGAACTGTGCTAGATTTCGATAAAAACTTCAAAAATGAAGTAAGCAAGTTACACTGTGCTGAAGATGACTTAGTTGCTGAAACTGATTGGAAAATCTATGATGAAGTAATCGTTTCATTTATACTACACAGATTTATTTATCATTCATAATATTACTTGAGCAATAAATTTCACATTACTTATATTAAGATGATAAACAGTTCTTAATTGATTTAGAATTGATTTTGGATTAACATTTAAAGAAGCTTCTAAAATAAGCACCTTCTGAATTACAAAATAACCGAATGTTATTGCTTCGTGTTTTAAATCAAAGACTTGTAAGTTTGTTTTTTTTTTCGACTTTTACAGTCATAGCTTTGAATGTCTGTAATAGAAATTTTCATTTAAACCAAAAATAATTCTCAGATTACTTCGTTGTAAAAAGAAAATTTTTACACAATATATGTAAAATCAATTAATATTGATATTGAAGTTATAAAGCTTTTATACAACTATTTGTACAAAAGCTTTATAATTTCAATATTAATACAACTATAAATTTCATCACAGAAAATTGCTGAAAATTAGTAAAAGTACTTGAGCGCATAAAAAAACAAATTAGAGTTGTGAAAATATTTGAAAAAAAAATAAATGAAAATGTAAAACAGATATTAGTCAAATTGAAAAGGAAGCTTAAAAATTAGAAGGAAACAAAAAAGTGGGAACATTTTTTCTCCATCAAATTGTTAGAATCTTCCGAGTTGAAAATACACCAAAAACGCCCGTGCAATAAAGGAATTAATTAATTGCTTGATTGTTATGCTACAGCCTTATCATATATGAAACCAATTTGACGCAAATTATTCATATTGTTCCAGATTGCAGGAACAGTACAAAATAGATGAAATACAGAATTTCATCGAGCAAAAAATTCGTAAAATAAATAATGTGATAAGGGAACAGGAAATCACATTACGTCCAATCTCATCAATTGTCTTGAAACCGGATCAGATGAAAAGTGATCCTGACGAATTAACACGTAAATATGGGTGAATGCTTTTTGGTTGATATACAAAATTTTTATGATCATATTGTCAAAGTTTTGAAGAAAATTGAACAAAATAATAATTTATCAAGATTACTGCAAGTCAAGAAATAAGTCAAAAAAGACTGGGTCGCATAATTATGTGAATTTATTTCATCACAGTTTCACCACATTTATTCCCTATTGTTTCAGTTTTAATCCCCTTAACACATATTGTATTATTTATCGATGCTTAGTTGATTAACCGGATGATAATTACCGATATGTTAAAATAATAAGACAATTTAATAGCTGGTACTGTAAGTCATTTCATGGATTTATCCAGCTAGCATGCATTTCTTATGTTAGCATGCAATTTCTTATCCGCAAGGCTGAAACAGTCAGGCAATCTTTGATAGGATTGGTAAATTAGGCAAGAAGACGATTAAACTTATTGCTTACTGTCAATATTCCTCACTTCACAGGATTCGATGGCTGGACATGTTGCAACTGAATTGAGCCAGCCGTCATCGAAAATTATCGAAGAGCTAGTGATTGATTTTACATATTTCAAAGCGGTACTCTATTTTTAAAAAGAAAAAAATGAAAATATTTATTTGATGAAGTAGTCATGACGGCAATTTCCGGTTAGCACGATTGAATGATTCAAATTTCTGAATGTTTCAAATAGTTAAATCGATGTTAGACTAAAATGATATTTATATAATTACAAATTTCGATTTGATTTATATGTGCCTTAATTATTAAATTATTAATTACTATCTAATTTAGCAAATATCTTTATGGTGCTTCGACTGCAAGCTGCATGCAAAAAAATTGATTTTCCAAAAATTGTCCTGGTTATTTAATTTTATGTACGATCAACCCGTATGATAGTCATACAGATTGATCCATTATCGAATTGGACCGAACAGAGTAATGAATTTTATACTCGGATGCTCGGAAGAATAAATAATTTCTCTTCTTCAATGGCTAATATGGTTAAATATTCATTTATCATTGAACCGAGCACAATAATACCTCATTTATTGGTAAAATTTCCTAAAAAATTATAGTTAGTTAATTTGTTTCAATATAGTTAATTTCAAAATTTTTATTGATTTTAAAAATTTGGATTTGATTTTTTTGGATGAAACTATTCTGAAATGAGATTGAATTTATTAAATGCATTGAAATCATAAAGAAATTTTCGGACAGAAATTATCCTAAAGCAAGATTCAGTTTTCGTGAGTATTTGAACGTAAATTTCTAATAATTTGTTAAATTATTCAGTATAAATTTGAATTTTCGAAATGAAAAAATAAGAAGGAAAGATAATACCCTTTGTCATAAAAAATGCAAGGTTTTTAGAAATTTTTTACGAATTCTGAAAACTTCTTTAGCATAATCTTTTCCTACTCATTTTTTTCAAGGAATATGTCACAGAATTCCAACAATTGGAAACCTTCCTTGAACGCAATCCGTTATCAGTGGAAGAAGCAGAACAGGTTGTTTTCAATCGGAATCTTGATAAGGCAAGGAATAAGTGTTAGTTTTGATTTACAAATAATTTCGAACAATAATTTGACGTTCATTTTGTCTGCTATTTTCTCTTTGACGAAAAAAGTTTCAAATGTTATGAAGCATAATGATTATATTCAACTTCATAATATACAGCCGTTCTTGATCACCCATGGCCAAACTCTTGACCACATAAAGTCAAAGCGAATGATTTTATAATTACATATCGATCAGTTATAAATCTTTTCTCAGACTATAATCCTTTAAGCCTTTCAAATCGATTATTATTTACATTAAAATGAAACAGTTATATTATCATACTTACAATTCTTGTTTGTTTCTATTTATTTAAAGTACGGTATGATAATGATCAAAATTGTTACTGTATCATTTCTTGCTACGGTATTCGAATGTGCTGATATTAGTCGCGTAATATTATGGTGTAAAAAAACAATTGATGATAATGGTTCAACTAATCCCCTACAAAACTACAACGCGAAGATTATCACATTTGCGTCATGAAGATAACATTTTGAAGTGTATCGATGGAACGAACTATTCTAATGATAACAGCTGTCTATTAATTTTTCTTCAACTTTCATAAAATCTTTGGTATTAATTTTATTTGATCATTTGTGTGTTTCTAAATGTTTTCAAATGTTGCTGATAAATTTCAGCGATGATTTCATTCATGCCTCATACGTGCGTGGTCGTCCACTGTTGAACACGTTTATTTTAACGCAAGCACCACTTCCATCAACGATCAATGATTTCTGGCAAATGGTCTGGCAGGAACGTTCGAAATATATTATTATGTTATGCAAACCTGTTGATACCAAACTGTTTAGGCTTACTAGATGGCGGGCTACCTAACACGTGTACCTATTATTGGCCAAGGTAATATTTCTTTTTGTATAGCTAAAATGAATTCTAACAGGTTTTTCAGAAATTTCATAGTAATTCGTATAACATCGGGTAACGAAATAATATCTCATCACTTTAATTTTATCATTTTTATCATTATTTATGTAACTATTTAATAGCTGGAAATATTCTTGTGCTTTTGAAATGTCGCAATCATTTAGCCAAAATTAATTGACAATATATTTCAGATTGTTTAAATGAAGTTATTCAAAAACTACCATTTAGGGTTTGATTGAATTGCATAAAAATGATATAGTAGCTAATACATTTCAAACATTTTGAAAATATTTTAAACTTTACTTGCTTCTTTTTCTCAAAAAAATATGACTGTATTTTATTTAATATATACAACTTATATATTGCCAATTGCATATTAAATACCATGTTTTATTTTAAAATTTTGTTAAATAAGTAAAATTTCAAACATTCATAATATTTTAATGCTAGAATTGTCATCTCCTAAATTTTTATAATATTTTGTTGAATTATTATAAAGCAAATATTAACAACAATGTCCTAATTAATAATAATGAATAGATAATAATATAATCAAAATTTGCATTAAGTTGCAAAAAAATGCACTGCTAATTTTAATAATTTTGAATTCAAAACTTTTGTTTAAATAGATATGAACATGAAAAAGCACAGTATGATGATTTCATATTGTTTGTAATCATAAAATCGATTGTACCATTGATCCACTTTTCAATGTCACCCATTTAACAATTCGTCGAGTTAATGATAAAGAAGGATTCGTGCATACATTGGAACATTGGCAATGTGATTGGAATGATTTCACTGATTTTGATTGGCCATTTCCATACTTCGCCGGTATATATTTTATCATAAACCATTCAATGATTTCTTTTTCATCATCTGAGGATCATTATCATCATCGTTGTTATCAATGACATTACCACTACTGTTATCATCAAAATCATCATTACCTTCATCCCAACATCACCACCAATATAATCAACATTATTTTCATTATCAAAATTATTTAACAGCTGTCATTATCATCGTTATCACTACTCATCCGATGGTTTCATTGCTAATGTCCCTAATCCATATCTTCTTGATTACAATATTGAGATAGTCAGATGATGTTGATAACGGTACTTTCTTTTAACTGTATACTTACTGCTTGTCGTACACTTACTCTTTCATGTATGGTTTTTCATATTAATCAGCTTCCAGAGCACGCTTATCACCAACGGCAACAATTATACATTGTTTGGATGGTTGTGGTCGTTCCGGTACTTTGGTCACTATAGAAGTGTTACTGATGCATTTACTCAGAGGTTGAAAGTAAATTTTGTAACTTTTTTTTGAATATTTGTAGCTTTTTTTGAATATTTTACTTTTTATTTCTTCTGAATAGTTGATAGTAGGAAAAAAAATTAAAAAAAAATATTTAAATAATTTTCTCAAATTGCGATCAGTTATAACTGCTATGCATTCTATGAGGAACATTTGAATTTTTTGATGGTAAAGCACACCTCTTCGTACTGTTACAATGATACGATTGAACGCTCTGATTACCTTTTGTTAATTATTTTTTGAGAAATATTGTAAATTCAACATTGGCAAATTTTTTTAGAATTTTGAATTTGTTAGTAAAAAATTTCTAAATAGGTAAATAAGTAATTTTCGAAGTTAAAAAATGCTACTTCCTTTTTTTTAAGGAAAACAATTCCATTTTAGATAATTTATTATCTTAAGATATTTTGAGATTCAGCTCAATATGATAAGTTAGTGCTTACGACAGCAATGTTTGCACGACTTCAACGACGTCATGCAATTTCATCACCGTTGCAATATCTTTTTATTTATCGTACATTGCTTCATTCGATGCAACCATTTATTGTCTCGAATATCGCGCGTTTCATACTTGGATTGATTTTTTCTGATTGGGGTTTTATTGGTAAATACCAGAAAATGATCAGTTGTCGTCATAGATTTGAATGATATGATATGATGAAGGATTGATTCGTGAAAAACAAAATAGACAGAATTGCATTTTATTTTAAAATGGTTTTTAATGGATATTTGGATACATTTAAAATGGTTTTTGATGAATATTTGGATACATAAATGCGAATAAAATTTATTTAAATGGAACGAAAATATTTTTCATTATAAATTTTCCAAAAATTTTCTGAAGCTTGTGAAAATGTTTCAGAATTTTTCTTCTGTTCTAATTACGTTGACATTTTCTTTATCTGTATCAAATTTCTGTTGTTAATCATTGTATTGTATGTTAAGATATAATTAAAATTAAAATGTAATAAATTTGCAAAAAATTTAAAATATATTTTTTAAACTTTTGCGTGGACTTTTCCTCTTTGAATATTGTCCATATTTTTTCTTTTAAAATTAATTTTGCAAATTTTGTGTAAATATTACATAATTTATAGTCCATTATTTTGATGCATTTCTTTATGGAGACATTACGGTTTGCCGGTGACATATGTTACCTACGTCACATATCGTGCGCCATATACATTATACCTGCAAGTGTTCCAAACTGATACTCGTCTGATATCATTTCTACATTAACTGATAA